TCAACAGTGGCCATTCCCAGTTCTTGTCATCTAATTAAAAAGTAAAACTCACAGATACAGTATAGAAGAGAAGAGCAAATCACATGCTAAACAGGCATGAAGCAGGCCACTGCCATGATTAGCATAGTTTCTAGGTTCAAAGGTTAGGAAAGGTAAAGCTGACTCATGATTTCGGCTGAGTCAGTGTAGGGGTACTCAACTGGTCAGCAATTTGTTCCCTTCCCTCCCTTTCTAGCCCAGAAACTAAAATCTGAGGCCCTCCAAAGCACAAGGAGTTTTTGAAACTATAGGCCTTTTATATTAGAAAGCTCTTTGTTTCTGCTAAGATGTCTGTTTACTCTCCTGGTCCAGCTGTGTCTTTTAGCTTTTGAGCTCAGTCAAGAGAAAGACCAGAATAGATTGTCTCTGCATGACCACTGCCTCCCTATTTACACTGGGCTTGGTATCCAGAAAAGGGGAAAGATATTAAGTTGCTACTTACCTAAATTAAATGAGCCTGGTTTCTCTGAATAATGTTAAGCAGACTCTTACCTAGTGAGATAATAATGCCATTTTGGAAAAAATATTTACATCAGCTTTCAGCAAAAGGTTGGCTAATGCTAAAAGAGTGAATTTGGGGCAGAGGCCCTAGTTTGGACGTGATACCGACTCCTCTTGGATAGCTTACGCGGTCTCTGCCTGTGATTTAGCTGCTCTGTTGGAAAAGGAAGGTCTTATAGTCTCCATGTGGAAACGTGACATCCATTGACATCAATGCAAGGCTCGCCACTGACTTCAACTGAGCCAGGATTTTACTCTTAGTCCTTTACTTTAGTATTTGAAGTGGGGTAAGGACTATAAATCATCCTTTCTCATCACATTGCTCCCATTCCATTAAATCAATCAAAAATAAAGACCCCCAAATCAGCATTTGTTATTAGAAACCCAACCTTCCTTTTGTGGTAGTACCCCCTTAGTGTGATTCTGTATTTCACAGTATGATGATAGCAACAGCTTGCCTGGAAGAAAGTCATGGCTCTTTCTCTTGTCCTGTTTGATTTACAATATTGTCTCTGTTTTATACCTGATGAATAGAGCTGTGCATAAAACAGCTTACTGGTTTTTGTTTCCTGGTAGTTGCTATTTCTTTAACCAATATTTGCACATGAGTATTTACTGGCTGATTGAGCTCAGCGTACATCACCTTGCAGAAGTTTGTACTCGTTTGAGAGCACCTTGGCTGTGCAAGCAGGCATGGCCGATTTGTTATTAATCACAACACTGTATGCAGATGCGGCACAGCCAACCTTTGTCAGAGATCTGACATGAAAGATTTAGACAGAGCCAGGCAGCTCCTGATCCATTCTGCTCACTGATTGTTTTAGGACAAAATGGGTCTCTCTTCTCTGGTCTAGACCAGTTCAGCACTGAAAAGAAAAAAAACAACTTCTAATGCCACCTATAAAGAAAGAACAGTTAAGTTCAGTCTGTCGTTTGCTTCTCAGTTGAGCAGTTGAGGTAGAAGTAGTTCCAGAGTTCTTCAGACTACATAAAAAGCAGGTGAAGCAGGTAAGAGCAGTCATTTGTGTTATCTTACATGAGGAACTGAGTTAGCTAAGCCAAAACTCAACATTTTCATTGCTGAAAATAGAAATCAAATGAGTCAATAGGACATGTTTTATTCCCTTATTAAGGAAGTGGCTGGTGCAATATTAATTGATGATTGAGAGTTGAGATACGGTACTATTCTCTTAATGAAAAAAATCAAGAAATAACTCTTGCAGCACTGAGTTTTATTACATTTCAATTCTGGTAGATTCTTATCATCCCCTGGTACTCTTGGAAGAGAACAAATGGAGTAGCTGTGAATGCTTGTTTAGCTGAATAATTTAATGGAAAATGAGGTGAGAAGGATACTGAATTAGCCAGAGATATAGACAGCTGACAAATTCAGTTTGGGATATATACAATATTAATAAAAGAGCAGGTAAATTAAGTGAGAAATGTCTGGTAAGTTCATGGGAGTTGAGAGGGTAGTGGCTTTTCCATCCCACGAGAATTTTCAAGATTTTTTAAAATGTTCCCATTCCAAATCAGTCCAAACATTCAATTTTTATGTTCACAAATGATTGACTGGAAAAAAAAATCAGTTTAGATGAATAGAAACATGTTGTTTAAATAATTTCATTACAATTTGTTGGATTTTGATCTTTAATTAAAAAAAAAAACACTTTTTGCCCAAGATGACTAAAAATTTAGGACTAAAAGTTGTTTCTATTTAAAATGTAAAACCATTTGATTTGAAAACTTGAAATGGGATAATCATAAATTTAAAAAAAAATTCAAATGGGATCACTTGAAAAAATCCAACCCTTTCTGTGAGCTCTTTCAGGTCTTAGGTATTGGCATTGCCTGATGAAAAAAGGTTTTGTTGGAAAATTGGCAAAGTCTCAAGTACATAATACTGATAGCTGATATATTTTACTTTAGCAGCTACTCGTTATCATATGTCTCATTTTCTCTACCTTTAAACTACTGAGCAGACAAGCACAGTGAGCTATTCAAGCTCAGAGGAAAAAGGACATGAATTGCCTAAATACAAAACATTGACTGCAATGGCTATGTGTACCATAGACCATTAGCATGTTTTGTAAAAATCTACTAGTTTCTGGTTTTCCTTTCTAAAAATGGCCTTAGCACTTTAAAGAATGAGGCGATCTGAACACATGCCAAGCTAGTGAGACTAAGCATTGTGAAGCCAGGTTGAAAAAAACCTAGCAGATTAGGGACAATTTCCTTCCCCACCTCTGTCATTAGGTACAGTTAGTTTTGGTTTAAAAATGTACGCTTGGGAATGAATTTTCAAAATTAAATGAAAGCAGATAATGTGTCCGCTTGTGTATTTTATCTGGGCAAGCAATTTCTGTGCATATACATGCAAATTAGATAATAACGTGCATGACTGATTAGTTAGTGGCAATTAACACATGCAGTATCCCAGTGTAAATAATGGTAACAACATGCACAAAGCAAGTGTAGAAGGGCATGTGCATTTTGGTGTGTGTTATTGCATGTGCCTAATTTTGCCAATAGCCCTTTATGAAAGAAAGTATGTTCTATAAAGCCAAATATTTAATATAAATAGTGGAAGAAGTAGTTTATTCTAATTGGAATGAAAACGGTTTTTCCTTTTGTGGTGGAAACAATTCCCCGTGCTGCGCTCTCCATCCAAATCCAGCTGAATTAAAGCGTGAGCGAAACTGACAACAAACAGACCTGTCTCCTTTACTTGTCTAGTTTCAAGCCTAATGGAAGAAGTGATCAGGTCTGTCAGTTCATCGCTGTTCTGTGCATGCCCCTGACAAATTCAGTCTTTCAGAGACTCGGCATCCAAAATACATTACTCACCCACATGTTGGGGATGTAACTCCACGCCAGGCACAGAGAGAAGAGAGGATGCAGTGTCCTAATGACAAGTGTGCGCTCATGCTCATTCCTCACCCCACTTCTGATGGTCTACCTGGTTGTGGCGGTGTGTGAAGAATCCTGTTCAAATTGCAGTGCCATAGTGTTTCTTCCACCTCTGCGGGTGATGCTGTACACATCAAACACTGGGGTTGTTCTTTGCTCTCAGGGGTCTTCCTGACTGTAGCAACCAGGAGGAGAATGACTGGAAAGAGAAAACTATAAGGAAATAGAGGATGGGTGGAGGGGCTTCCTTCCCAGGCTCACCCACTCTGGAATTCCTTACACCCTGGATTTTCTCTCTGGAAGGGTATAAATGGTGAGAAACAAAGTCCATCCTTAGGTCCATCTGGTTTTCCCAAAGTCTTGCTCTTGATGACTAACTCAGGTAAAAAGCCCTTTGATTGTATCCAGGGGCCCTGACCATTGGCTGCAGTAAATCCCCTTATACCACCCTTATACCACAGGAGAGGAGGCATGGGAATCCACTGAATTACCCCCGCAAGCCAGGGATCCTCTAGGATAAAGTGGAGTGTCTCTCGCTGACATAGCCCTGCACTCCCTGCCCCTAGGAACAAGTGTCTGGGTATGCTAGAGGGTGGTGTACAGCAGCACTGCTCTATTTTCTCACCAGTCTGGTTGCAGCATGGTCCACACACAGCCACCATGAAGTTAGAGCAGCCCTGTGGAAGGCTGGATGGGGTTTGGCCATCGCCACCCCATAGCTGAGTCGTGATTGCAGCTATTTCCAGTTCAACTATTGCCTTTCCTTATGTTGTACCAAAATGCCCCCAAGCTTTGCTAGAGACTTTTAATGCCCAGAGGCGAGTGGTATGCTGGATGCCCACCGATTAGCTCTCATCCTTCCGGCTTAGGAAGACCATGTTTCTGCAGCATTTGGTGTTTTGAGGTGTGGCATGAAGCAGTCTCTAACCCCCTCCCCATAACAATATCTTTGCAGAACCAGCACGAGCAAGATGGCCTTTCGGAGTGAGGAGATGTGCTTGACTCAGCTATTTCTCCAGGTGGAGGCTGCGTATTGCTGTGTGGCAGAACTTGGAGAGCTGGGGCTGGTTCAGTTCAGAGATGTAAGTAGGTCTAAGGTCCTTGGGGAGGAATGGTGGGAGGAAGGTTCTTGACAATCACATACCTGGTCTTATGCAGTGCTTTCTCACTAGTAGATCTCGAAGCACTTGACACAGGTGGTCAGTATTGTTAGCGCCATTGTGTCAACAAGGCAAAATTGAGGCATAGAGAAGTGAAGGGACACACCCAAGGGCATCCAGCAGACTAGTAGAGTTAGGAACAGACCCTAAATTTCTATCCAGTAGGCAACACTGCTTTCCTTCCATTATTAAAAAGCCATTATAAATGTGGTTGTCCTTAAAAATAAGGTTCATTCCCCAGCTTTGCCACACGCGTCTCCCTGAACAAATCACTTACTCCCAGTGCCCCTCATTTCCCTTTCTGTAAATGGGGGATAAAAATAATACTGTCCTTAAAATCAATCTCTTCCCAACTTCCTCCCCTTGAATGTCCCTGTCACCTTTTGGTGATTTTCTAAAGTGGGTATCTACAAGAGTGCTACACAAGGGCAAAAACTTCATCAGGTGTTAAAATGTCCAATGATAAAACTATAAAATATTTCTATGAGGCTGTTGGCTACAAATGTCCAACTCGGGATCCTTAAAATTCTGGTTTATTAGGCAGATTGAAACACTGTAATGAGTTAAATCATAAACCTTGGGGCTGGTCCTTCCATACACACACACACACACACACACACACACACACACACACACACACACACACACACACACAGTAGCAAGCTACAAGAGTCAGGTATGCCTATCCCACAGGTGCTGGAGTCTGTCGTTGAGGCTTCTTTCAGTGTGGTGTTATCTTCCAGAAGGGAGTCGCCGGCTGGTCCTTCTGGCTGGACAGGTCGGGTGCTGGTCAAGTTGGAGATCAAGAGGGCGCCACTGAGGGTCACTTTTCACTGCTTTTTATCTGT